ATGTTTTATTTTTTAAATTTAATAGAAAATGTAAAGATAAAAATGATGATTTATATTTAATAAGTTTCACAAATTATTCATTAGCTATCATGCGTGTCTATAACTAACAAACTTGAATAAATCAAAAAGTACATCGTCACTGAATTAATTACCCATTGTTTAAAAATGTGTTTGTGTGTTTTTTATAATAAAGCCACATTAGGCTATCTGCTGTGTCCACCGCGGAGAATCGAACCACTAGTTTTAGTGTTGTAAATCCGTATACTTACCGCTCCCACCGAGGGAATTAAAAAAAATGAAGAAGTATGGAGCAAAGAATTCAATACAACTTCAGAAACTGTGTTGTTATTAGTATGATGGATTTAAAAACTTGCAGTATGAGGATAAAATTTGAATAGAACATCTTAAATTCTGTCAGTTTTATTTGTATATATTATTTTGCCATCCATTTGAGTCCACCAGCGAAACAGTGGTAAGTCTACAGACTTACAATGCTAAAATCCAAGGTTCGATTACATAGATAGTCCAACGTGGCTATTTTCTGAAAGAAACACACAAAGCCATAAGGGCTAAGACGGATAGTTGTGAAATTAAAACCCTCCCAGAAAGTCTTAGAGCTATAATGGACGACGTAGCGTGTATATATGTATTTATGTATATGGCCAAAATAACAATGTAGCGCCACCTATTGACTGGTACTACAAACAAAAAAATCCATAAAATGATTTCACACTTTGGATATTCAAGATTCAGAGAATTAGAAAAATAAATACGGTATGTGCAACAATTATTTCCTTATAAGGCACAATTTTGAATAAAAGTACTCTCTTCACAACAAGAACACGACTTTCACTAGGACTGTACGTGACGATTCGATTATATCTTTATTGATGTAATTTGTAAATATTGTACTAAAAAAGTGGAGTTCTTAAAAAAAATTTCAATAAACGGTACCATTTATATATATATAAGAATTACAGTTTATATCAACATAATCCGAACACTTTTCCCAGAAAAAATCCTTTTTTTAGAAAATGTTCATTTTTTCTAAAAATATTTTTCAATGAGATATGAATACTAAGATTAGTAATTACTAGCACAACAGCCAACAGAATAAACATAAAATTGTATTTTTAGTTGCAATTATGAATTCAAATTTGATTATGAGAGCACATTGTGAGGTGTCCTTAAACTTTATTAACATTTTAAAAAGCATAAACATTAATCTAATATATGAAATTGTAAAAATCAAAAACGTATACTTGTTATTCATCATTGACTCTTGACAGTCTAACTTGTCATGTTACATTTTTATTAACTCAACATTTTTGTTTTGTTTTTAATGCAAAATTGTGGTTATATTAACAGCAATTATCTCTGGAATAATTTTTTTTAATTTCTACGAAGACTCTACTAGGTATGCATATTACATAATTCAATCTTCTCTTAATTATTATTAAAATTATCACTGTCCTTGTTCTCCTAGAAGATGTCGTCAATTACTGATAAATAGAGGTCGTCATTCTTAAGTTGTTGAGATGTTATAAAAAAGATGTGATATATTTAATTTTCAATCATTAGTAATTCTGAGAAAAAGAACGTAAAACTTCTCACTTTATATACGTTGAAAACTTTGTCTAATTATAACGTTTGCTAACTTAGAGGCTGGTAATCTGTCTCATTGTTTCATAATAAAGATTTATTTTTGCCACTAAAGCAAAGCTTTGTTTAATTAATTGTATTATGAACTATATGAAGATATTTTTTATGCCTACAACTATTATAGAGGTCGCGCCAAGACAAAATAAAAAATAATAAGGGGATAAAGTAATTGCATAGAGTTTTTACTTTCCTTAATTCATACATTTGAATAATCTATCACATCAAATAAATTAATGTAAAATAAATAACCGTAAATCTTTGATATTTATTACTTTATTACATTTTACAATTTGATCAGGTGGTTTCTCCGGGTTGTGCTTCTAGCTTTCGGCCATATTTATGTCCACCTACCAATGTGAATAACCGGGAATTTTACTATTTTCACCCATATTTATTAGTTTTTAAAGGTAACATAGATTTTAGTTTTCTTTTTTAATATCTATTTACATGTAAACAATAACACTTTTCGATTATATCGTTATGTTACAAGATTTTCGGTTTAAATTTGCTATATTTGCGCTTTTTTCCCTTAATTATAATTATGCTACTGTGGTAGTACTACTAGTACTAGTAATAATTTACTCTTAATTATTATTAATATTATGTATGAACTAATTTACTGGTAATAGTGACTGATGTGACGACCGATTGTTACATTAGAATTTAGTTATTTACAGATTACCATGCTTATCAGGTAGGCATGCAGTGGATTTAATGGTAACATTGTTTGATTTGCTTTGAAAATGAAATATTATGATGTAAAGATTTTGAATTTGATTGGCATAAAGTTAACTTTTACGTTGTAGATATCTGATGGATTTTTCTTACGAATGAAAGTAGTATTAGTAGCCTGCTACTAACTGGCACTACAAACAAAAATCCATAAAATGATTTCACACTTTGTAAGAAAAATCAATCAGTACAAGTAGTTCTACTACTACTAGTACTAGGTAGTGTTGGTTTAAAGCAGAATTGGAGTTTTTAAATCTTGCCTTTATTAAAGGAAATACAGTAGAATGGGCTTTCATTTTCAAATCTCCTTATAGTTAAATAATGGTTTAATGATTAGATTATAAATTCCTGTCTTTAACTTTAAATTTGCCCTTCTTCACAATCAAATAAATTGGTTTAACTTTACTATAGAACAGATTATCCTCGTAGTGACCATTAGAGTGACACACTTTCTCATTTGCAAATTTGATGTGTAATGATAATAACAGTATACTTCTTAATATTACATTTAATCAGAGAAAATTTATTTGTTACTTACTGTATTGAAATTTTACATTCAATTATAAATTATTAATTTTTTTTACTACAGTTATTATGTAATTTGTGAAAATAAAGAGGGTGTGGCAGATTATCTGCCACAGACTTAGCACAGTTTCAAAAATTAAATGAATGTTAAAGGTAAAATCATTAGACTTGCTAAAGCAAAAGTGTGGTGCTAAATATGTTCAACAAAAATCAGCTTAAACCAAGGCTGTTTGTACACTTGTTCATACGGTGTCAATTGAAGAGTTTTTCTACAACAGGAGTAGTTAGGCTTATTAAACCAGGCTCGTGTAACTGAATTATTTATATATATATATATATATATCACAAATCTGTAAAATGTTTCACAAATTGTGTGAAAATGTTTTGTAAATTTTTTCAGAATCAACTTGAAGAAAGGCATCATGGCTGCAGGTCCATATAATTATTCCTACATTTTCAAGTATATCATAATAGGAGATATGGGGGTTGGGAAATCATGTCTATTGCATCAATTTACGGAAAAAAAGTGTAAGTTTTATATATCTCTCAGATTTTTTATCTACAGATAAGTCTAATAATTAACCTGTATGCTTTTATCCCTACCTTATAAATAATTTACTTGCTCTAAGCCTAACCAGTCGTTTATTAATAAAGAGCCTTTGAAGCCATATTGCTTCTGTGAAACATGGCTTTACCTACAGTATAACATATTGATTACAAAACCAAATTGTAATTAATTTTATATGTACTTTATGTTGGATGTACTGTAATTTATATGAAATGCAATGTTAAAAATATATATCAAATATGAAGTTATATCTAAGTGAGTGTAATATTTGATGTAAACTCTAAATTAAATAATCTATAAACCAGTGTGTTAATTTTATAATATTTGATGAATAATGAATGTATAGAAATGCTGAAATTCTTAAAGACAGGTCTCTAACCTAGTGCACACAATATGCTGATACCATAACTAATATCCACAAGACACTATCACAGTTAGTATATCTTCCTGTCCCTAGACTTGTAACCTAGGTCATCACTTTACATCCATCTAACCCATCCTTTATCACTCAACCGAATTTATGACCAATCCTTGAGATCCTAATCTTGATAGTGTAGAGCATTCGTGTGTTTGTAAGTTTTAATTTTCTAGCATTTCCAAAGCATCGACATCCATGGAGAAAAAGCATGGTACGAAGATGAATTATGCTTATGTGTGTAGTGAAGTCACTGATTTTAGAACAGTCATAACAAATGAATGTTGTTAATTTCAGACACTGAAACATTTTCTACTGTAACCAAGCAGTGTTTTTAAAAATATTTCTCTGCAGTATTTAGATACATATTTATTTATTGTTGTAAAGCATGCTGCCTGCATTGTTGCAGAAAACATGATGGGTACATTGTTGCTAAGCCTGCTGAATTAATCATTTCATACATTTAGGGGTGTTTGCACACAACTGGCACAAAAATATATCAATGTATGTTATGTATTAATATCACAACATTTTTGTTTTCCCATATTTTTCTAGAACTCTTCACACACTTGTCTATATGTTTTGTAAACCCAACTTAAGATAATTTGATCCTCATATTAAATAGCTATTTCCAATGAAATGTATTAATTGTCTATTTTTAGATTTTCTGTAAACTTGTAGTTCAGATCATAGCAAGTCTGTGTTAATTTTCTGTTGGCAAGAGTAAAATGTGTTGATGTTTTCCAGTTATGGCAGACTGTCCTCACACTATTGGGGTAGAATTTGGCACCCGAATTATTGAGGTGTGTGGACAGAAGATCAAACTTCAGATCTGGGATACTGCTGGGCAGGAAAGGTTTCGAGCCGTGACTAGAAGCTATTACAGAGGTGCAGCAGGGGCCCTAATGGTTTATGACATCACCAGGTTAGCAATGAATATTGTATCATAATCGTATCATAATTTTTATCAGGAACTCCTGGAAAAGTCATTGAAAGTCTAACCAAACTGCTTCCACATCACCTATTTTATTATTCATGATGTTAGAAAAACACGTAGGTTCAAGTAAGTCTTGATAGAAATGAATAAAAGTCATACCATTGTATTTTTGTCAGTTTCAGAGAAAACAAATATCTTTAGAAAAATTGATTCATAAAATAGGAAATACCCTTCCTTGAAAACACCAATCAGTAACACGCTTTGAACTGTGTATCTCAGACTGCAAGCAAACAGGTGTTATGTAACTATTGTTGAAATGATATTGTTAGTGTAAGCTCAAGACTTGTTTGATAAAGGCTGTGGATGTTTCCATCTTCAGCGTAAGAACTTCACAGATAATTAACAATGTTTCTAGCCTCGGTTCTTCATTAGTTATTTTTTAAAATTCGTTAATTAGAAGAGAGAGAGAAGTACAATACCAAATGACAATAATATAATAGAATGGGCATTATAAAACTAGCCACTGTGTATGAAATAGTCCAGTATTTATCATGAAAGTCAGCCCACTAGCATAAAACTGATTAGGTTACCAGTAATTTATACAGTGGTCAGTCTAAGCTGGAATATTTTGAGTGACAGTTTGGACCCCATTACTGAATATTTTGGAGATTGTCTTTTGCTTTAACCCTATCGTGATGGGTCACGTGTCAAAGGCCGTGTCATCATGTTTGTTAACTTGCATTCAAAATTTTATTGAACTACTATTTTGTGTTTATGTCAGTAAGTTTGGTATCAAACTGTAGATTATAATTCAAATTTTAGTATTTTAAGTTAGTTCATTTCTTAATTTTAAAAGTAAATATTAAAAACACAGATAAACATTGATTTTTGTGTGTCATGTGGTATGTTGAATTCAGCACTGGTTTAAATTAGATGTTTGTGATGTCAAAATAAAAATTCTGTAGTTTTGTATGAATTAGAAACTCAAGTTACTGATATTGACAAGCCAGAATATAAAATAAGAGCCTCTTATCTTTTCTATTTGATAAAGTATTGCTCATGTAATGAATCAAACACTGTGGCACCCTGCCTACCCTTTGCCATTTTTGGAAATTCTCCCTTATATACACTTCTATATATATGAATAACCAATGAAAAGCTCAGAATGTCCTCCCCCTAGTTGTTTTCTCAGCCATTTTGACGTTTATTGTGTTAATCTTGTTCTTTTCACACACAATTTAAAGCTATAAGGTAAGTCTTTAATGAGATTGAAATTTCATGTTTTTTTAAACCCAAATACAGCTTAGTTACTATGCTTGATAAATTATAGTAGAATTCTATGGTACTGATATAGTAATTTATGATTTTTTCTGGTTATTTAAAATGTATATATAATAACAAATTTTTCTTTTCACATCCTCCATGTGGGAAATTTCATAAGGCTTAGCAACCTACAACAAGCAGCAAAGGAGTACAAAGGTCGTAACTAGAAGAGATAATTGTGTGCTTTATTTACTGTTCTATATTTTAAGAAAAATTTGTTTAAGAACTTATTTGTAAATAGTATTAATGTATATACATATATAATGTATAATAATTGAAATGTGACTATATTTTACAAAATACAAGTCCACTAAAACACAGCCAAGACAGGTTATTTTGTAAAGACTAAATAAAGGACAGTTTTATATTGGATACAGTATCACAAGTGCACGTGCACTGCATCATTGTAACTTCAGGAAGGTCAATATAATAAATGTATAATGTTATGATATTTAAGCTATTTAGACTAAACATTTGTGAGTTCTTGTTATAACCTGTAATCATTCTAGAACAAAAAAAGCATAATTTAAATTTATTTCCTAATTTTTTATGGTGGTTACGAGGCCAGTCAAATATACACATAGGGTTAGGGTAGAGAAAATATCGTTTTACTGAAACAAACATTTGAAATGTATTTAGGAGGTTTTAGAGGTTACACAAATAATATTTTAGATTTTTGGGATGAACAATAGTTTTTTAGTTATAACATGAAAATCACTTCACACTTGGACTGGTAATGAAATAGACTCTGTATTTTCACAAACAAATCTATAATAGAAATATTTCATTAAAAAATCTGATTTTTTGTGTACAAAAAGACTTGTAATCTCTACTAAAAGTCTACCAAAGTTTGTGAAGGTATACTTAGTGCATTCAAATTTATAGTATAAATAATTGTGTATATTACACCAAGCCTGTCAAGAAAGGATTAAATAGAAAGTCAGTACTGTAAATACAGTATTGTTATTATTAGTTTTTTCTTTCAGTTGTAAAATGAATAAAATTCTCAAAAACTGGTCATGTTTTTACTTTTAATCATCTTACCCTATGATGACTGATATACTTGATAAATAAAACTATTTAGAATAATTATTATTTCTAATATTTGTGTAAACATGGGTATGTGCTGTTGTACAAGAAAATTTACAGGATTGAACACAAAATAAAATAAAGTTTTATTGATCCACAAGGTTTCTAGTTCTAGGTTCTTTGTTAGGTGCAATTACAGTAGTAAATTGTGGAAACATATAAAAATAATGGAAAACAATTGTGTGAGAAAACTATGAGATATACATTTTTATATTAATTCAGCTCGTAGCTTTGTGTCTGTAGGTGTCCAGCTAACATTTGCTACAGTTATGAAGCTAGTAGGACTAAACTTGGCAGGCAAATTGGGAATGGCCAAAGTCTACCATAGAAGGAATTGGGGATAATGGAAGAGTTTTATCAGTAAATTTGCACCTCTGTGAATCATGAGGGGGGGGTATGCTAGTCCTGATGTATGTTCAGCAGCCAGTCACGTACAAGTTGACTTATCAATAAGTTTAAATAATTTGGTCACTTAACATTACTTGGTTTTGGTTACACACTAAAGTTCCTGCTAAAACACAGTATCTGGGAAAAAAAATGCAAAGTTTTATCACTTTTTCAGGCCTCCTAGTGAACCTTTAAAACTTGTATTGTTGCTCAAAGGGGACATAATAGCCTGTTTCTTAATGCTTCATCATGTAAATTATAATATAGCACCTCTGCAAGAGGAACTTTGCTAAAAAACAGACTATGTTTTAGTAAATTTCATCTTGTAGTTTGTCAAATTTGGAGTTTAAAGGCTGATGCTTCTAGGAGGCCTGCTTATTAAGTTTAAGTATACTTAGGGACTATATGTGATAAATAACTCGTTTAGTTTCTTTTAATGGCTTATTCCTAGTCTTTTTGTTGTTGTTGTTTCAATAAATGTTTTTTGATATCTCATGTGTTACAGCCATTGATAAAACATTTGGTTTAGCTGTTACTGTAGTTTTATATTTAAAAAAACACTAGTTCTTTAATTTTAGGAGAGTTCACATTTTGTTAAGTAAATTAGGTTTTTCAAACTGACAGTTTGGTCCTGAAGAATCTTGGAACTTTTTAGTTAGCCTGACAAAGCATGTTCTATCTACAATTGTGTTTAGAATAACAACAACAACCATTTATAACATGGAAAGTTTATAACCAACATTTTGTTTGATTTCACTGTATTTCCAGAGATTGCTTAGTATAATCTACAACTTTGTGGTTTTATTTTCTCACAGAAGGAGTACATATAACCATTTGAGCAGCTGGCTAACAGATGCACGAAACTTAACAAATCCAAATACAGTAAGTAACATGTTTTGATTCAACCGACAGTTCCTAAAGAGTATTTGTTTCATACTGCTGATGAGTAAGTACTTCTTCAGCAAATAAAATAGTCTAAATATTTGCCATTGATGTTCATCAGAATCCTGACATGTATAAAATCTATCTAAATCTCTGCTTACTGTGGTTAAATTGTTAAAATTTACATCATGTAAATGTCTCTGCTTAGGTGAGATTATTAATCTTTGCCTTGTTTAATTTGTATACTGTGGTAAGATTGATAATATTCACTTAGTTTAATTTCTTGTCTATTAAGGTGAGATTGTTAAAACTATTTTGGGGTGTGGTACAAGAATATATTTAGTTCCTTGTTGTATATTTGTGATTAAACCAGTTATTTTACAATGTTTTCTGTTGACAGAAGCCTTTATTGTATCTGTGCTAGAATCAGGTATTAATGTTGCCAATTTAAACATCCTCTAATTCCAAAATGAACATTAGCAATGATAGACTGTAGTATAAGTTTAAAAAATGATGAATAGTTATTGTTACTTGTACTTTAAGTAAAATTCTCCCCTGACTGAAACTTTGTATTAGAAGCTAGTGTTCAGGAGACAGCTGCATTATGAGTCGTTTGACTATTGTTAGAAGCTTGTGTTCAGGAGACAGCTGCATTATGAGTCACATGTCTGTTAGAAGTTAGTGTTCAGGAGACAGCTGCACTGTGAGTCACATGTCTATTGTTAGAAGTTAGTGTTCAGTAGGCAGCTGTACCCCAACTTGATTAGGATTTAAACACAATACTTCCATGTGAGAGTCGAGCACTTTAACCACTTTGAAACCCAATGTTAACAAATAATAATGTGAAATATCATGGTATTCATGTTTGACATATATATCGTTAGGTTAAAAAAACAACAGTCATGTTCATCAAGATACAATTTATTGTGGCCCTGTATTTCGTAGTTACCAAACATACACTTAATTTATGTGTAAGTGTATTCTTGTACCATCCAGATAAATATCTGCACCAGATAATTTGAAATATCTTTACAGCTGTTGCTATAAACTTAGCTGTCTTAAATTAGTTGTAACTGTTACATTGAAAAATGTTGTCTATTTAAGTAATGACTTTGCTGGTGCATGTTATATATACACATAAGACCTTAACATGTTATACATTATTTTATGTATACTTATTAAGAAAATACAACCCCCAAGTTTTTGTTTGTTTATTAAGCTCTTAAAATATTGACAGGTTATATTCCTTATCGGAAACAAAAGTGATTTGGACGGCCAGAGAGACGTAACATATGAAGAAGCCAGGCAGTTTGCTGAAGAAAATGGTGCTTTAAAAATCTGATTTTTAACTTTCGACTAGATAATTCGTGTTTTTTACTACTTATGTACAATTTAATTTGCAGCTTTTTGGCTGCACCATCTAAATATCCAACTCTATAGCTATTAGTCATGTCTTAGATGTTAACCCTTTCTAAAGTTAAAAAGTCAAAGCTGTTTAATGGGCTTTTATTTATAACTAGCTTTTGTTAGGAGAGATTATATAAAGTTTTATGTATACTCGTATCACAACTTTCGAGGAACAGATAATCAAATCAGTGAAGGTGAGTGAAGTAAACAGTAGTTCTTAGGCATCTCATAAGTAAAGTTATAATCCATTCTTTAATGTTTATTTCATGAACAGTATTGTTTAAAATTTTTAGTATGTATGTAATATTTACTTCTATGATTTTAATTTTTTAACAGATATGTTTATGTTGTGAGACAGTATTATTGGGATTGGGATTATGCTTGTATCATAAGTAATAGCAAGGGTACCCAATTACTGAATCAGTGTGTTCTAATAATTATAAGTTTTATGACATTCCATATAGAATGATTTATTGAATTAGCTACAGTTTTTACTTCTGATCTACATAGGCAGCATGGTTTGATCAGAAGTTATTGCTCAGAGTTAACTTATCCAGCAACGTATGCTTCATAAAAAGTACCAAAAACTGTAGTACATGAATATAAACAACATTTTACATAGCTAATTTCCAAGAGTCAATTATGTATTATAGTGTGTAATTATAATATTCTGGGTTATATTTATTTTTTGTCTGTTTTAATGTCTTTCAAATAGTCTCACTTCATTATCTTTACAGGCCTAATGTTTGTTGAAGCTAGTGCAAAGACGTAAGTTTTTAAGTTTTTTTTTTCTTCCTTGAGTTTAAATCTATGTAGAATTAAAGGTGCACCTTACTGAAAGTTCTTGGCCATTTTATGCTCAAAAGTTTTAAACTGTGATTGGGTTAATAGAAAATATTCTTATCAATGTTGTTATGATGTAATGTCAGATTAATTGTTAAAGTTCCATTAAACAAATTTTTCATTCAAAGCACCATGGGTTTGCTACAGGCACTGAGTAAATATGTGGTACAATAGGTTTAAAGTGTTATGTAAACACAAGTACTTATTTATAGTACTAAGGTTGTCCTGCTTTAATGTATAGTGGGGAGAATGTCGAAGAAGCATTCCTTGAAACAGCTAAGAAGATTTATCAAAACATCCAAGATGGAAGGTTAGTACATTTTCTATAAAGTATCTACATCATTCTAAGGAAATATTTTATTATAGTGATGATATTGCCTGGCTGAAAATGAATGTTACATAACATGCAAGACAGTTGAAGTATAAATATAAAGTAGTTGTAACAACTAAGAATTTCATTATAAATAAAATGTATAATGAATTTGAAAGTTAAATTGAACATGTATTTTCTGTCATAAAAACACTGTGAAGCATCATGAAGAGTTAATATTGGGAAAGTCATTATGTCTGATGTATTCAATTGATCAATGTTTTTGCCATTTACCTTATTGTGGCAGAACACTGAGCTAATATTACATGATTGTTTGTAAGATTTTTTTTCTTTAACATAAACAGTTTAACTCTTTAACTTGAGTATTGGAAACCATTTTAAAACACTAACAATAAATCTTGAATAGTTAACTTGGTAGATCTGAAAATCTAGAATATTTTCTGGCTCCACAAAACAACACACGTTCAAAATAATTGACTGAAAATAAAGAAAGGATGTGAAATTTTTACTATTTTGATAGAACTTTGTGAAATTGACACAGAAGTATTGTAATTTATTCATTTTTTTATTCCTGATGTACTGAATGCATTAATTAGCTTTGTAACAACATCTAAGAACAATTTTTAACATTGAATAGAGGAGTATACTGAGATATCATAGCCATTAGGGTTTGTTAATTAAAACACTCAAACATTTTTAGTGATGCATTATATCCAACAGATGATATAGATTGGGAGTATTTAGTCTAACATAGCACAGTCAGTGGTTCAGTCATGATTATGAAGTTCTTAGTGTATAGTTGTGCCATGAATATGTTTTGATTAGTCCATAAGAAAGACACCAAAATTAGTGCATTTTATTCTAATTGCAAACTGTAGAAACAGAGAAAAACAGATTGTAAATTTCTGACATTTCCTGTTTTTCTGTCAGGCACATTCAACTTTTATATACATAATTGTTTAATAAGCTTAAACCATAAATTAACCTAGCTTTTAATTATCGGTGTTTTTGTCGTAGTCTTGACCTCAATGCAGCAGAATCTGGTGTACAACATAAGCCATCAGCTCCTAGAACTCTTAACAACGACCAACAACCCACCAAAGAAAGCTGTGCATGTTAGTTACTATCTTTTGAATCCAAGTTCAGTAAGTACATTTCTTATAATATCACTACTGTATCTGGACTGTGTAGCTATTTATTCAAAAAAAAATAATTGCAGTTTTTATGCTATCAATGGTAAAGACAGAATATCTTACACTCCATTCACCCGTGTACCTCAGGACTTCCCCAAAGTAGGTTTATGATAAGACCCTGTGAAACTGTGATGTGTTGGTTTGTTTTCTGTTTGTTAATATAGATTTTGTGTCCATTTGCTGGAATTGGTAAGGTTTAACTTTCTCGCTGTGGACGTGGTTGCTTCAACTAAGTTCATGACCCTGATGTGATGTTAGAGTTTCCATACTATAACTTTTAATATATTTTGTGTATCTTCATGAAATTTGGCAAGCTTTCAGAAAACAATTCTTATGTACACAAAGAATCACTCTTTTTAATTAAGTATTTTTACTAAAAATCTATCCATGAATATATGATATCCTAGTGTTTACTGTTCTGAATACAAAGATATTTTCATCTTAACTCCTTTCTTACAGTCTCCCTTTCAAAATTTAAGCTATTTTATGATAAAGGTTTTATATTATCTAAGTTTTAATTCCCTTATTTCAAAAGAAATATTCTTAGTTCCACAAGTTCACAAAACTGAGCTCCCTACTATATTCAGCAGAAACTTGTACACTCTATCATTGTCATATAAAGAGATTATCCAGCATGCACTTCAGAGTGATCCTGAATATATCTTGGGAAGACCGAATCACTAACAAGGAGGACTAGAAGCATGCCAGTATGCCCAGCATAGAAGCTATGCTTCTTAAAAGACAACTGTCTGAGCTGGTCATGTGGTGCATGTGCCAGAACATAGATTTCTGAAGTCTCTACTTTATGGAGAACTTTCATCTGGCTAGCAGTGGAGAGGTGGACCAAAGCTGCATTACAAAGATGTAATAAAGCATGAACTGATATACCTACTACCTATTGGGAATCCATAGCCACTGATTATGCCAAATGGCACAAATCCATCAAGGACGGTTCAGAAGTTGCACACCAAATATGGGTGAAGGTCTTGCCTGCAGTTCCTCACACAGTATGATGTAACATTTGTGAAATGTGCAAGCATTGATGGTTTCTCCCCCCCCCCTTCTCTACGTCATCTTCGATTATCGAAGGACTGCTGACGACAACGAATAAGTTTTTAATTTTTACATTTTACTTAATTTTACTAATGGTACTAATACATTAAATACTATTTATTTAATTAAATAATGCACCTTAGAACACAGATAATAACACACACAAAGCAAACAATGTCCTACAACTATTGTAATTTATCTTACTTTCTAACTGCCAATAAGAGCCTGTAAAAATTCAGCTAAGCTTGTCGGTGTTAATAGACAATGCTGTGTGCAGAAAAGACTAAAAAAATAATGTCTTTTGATAGATTAAAACTTTGGCTTTCTATTGGTTATAAATAATATAGTATATAAAACAAATCAGAGAGAACTGTTGGCAATATGTGAAAGAAAGGATGTGATAGGTGGGTGTAGCAAGTGGGCCTGATTTACTAGTTTATGGCCCCGTAAACAAATAAAATTGAAAGATATAATACTTTGCCTTAGTAATATCTATATTATAATGAGTGATTTACATTAAATTCTGTACTTCTCAGAGGGGTGGTAAGTAAATAAGAGGAGGAGGAAGACCTAAAGAACAAATGTCAAGAGATTAAGGAATTAAAAAAAAATCCTTATAAGATTAAGAACTTATAACTTGTATAATATCAAAATTGGATTCAGTAATTATGTTTTATGCCAAGTTTATGCAATGATAATAAAGCAGTTTAATTAAATTATGAATGCATCTCTTTACATGTTTGTGATATGTATACTTTAACCTACCTGTAGCAAGAGGGTTAAGAAGAAGGATCCGTATGGGTAACTTGAATGCAGTTGCCACTAAAGGATTCATGCTAAGAACTTAAATTGTAGTACATTGATTACTTGCTAATATGTGAACACCCTCAACTTGTGATCTATTTTTTAAGTGTATTAGCAGATACTTTTCTTGTTGAAATTGCTTTAAAGTACAGTTGTAATAAATTATATACTGTATGAAAATGTTAATTTTCTTTAAAGAAAAACTAGAACAGAAATAAAGTCGGAAAAACAAATACATGCTTACATAGTTTTCAACATATTAAAATGTTAACTTTGGGTGGAAGCAGTGCAAAGATCATAGCATATGTGGTAATCTATTTCTCACTTCGATTATGAACCTGAGACCTGTTCCATGTCAAGCAAGAGCTGTAGGGTTAACCACCTAGTAGCATTTACCAGTAAGCTTCTACATATATGCCAAATTATAGTTTGTGCAATTCTCATCTATTAAACAGCCCTTTTTAATACAGATGATATGTTCCTTGATAAAAATTCTGCATTTGAATTTTTTTACACTTGCAGTGTGTCAGTAGTTTGTTAGAAAAAAACTGTAAAGAAGTGTTGTTTGTCTAAATGAATTAACTCAGTTTGGTAATTTATATGCTGAAAATTTTTAATAGTTCTAATGTTCTGTCTTTGAAAAGTGTTCATTAGTTTGAATGTCTGGTTTTCTCTATTACTTTTGGCTTTATTAAGATGTAACAAGCATATGAAGCAACTCTAATCCAAACCATTTTGAATATTTAAATTAAAAACATTTAGGAAATGCTGGTCAGGCTTTTATAATTCAACTAATTAATAAAATGAAAAGTGATGATTATACTACTTAAAGACTTGTAGTTTTATGAATATTTGCAAAGTACACTTTTCTAAATGTTTTGTGCAGGACAAGATTTTATAAAGACTGACTCTGGTGAAAAGCTTAAGTCAAACTAATCCAACTTGGAACGTCATTTTCCTTATTTGCTTCCTGATTTCTGTGGACCTGCCATCAGATTTCTCCTAGGGAAAAGAAAGTATTCTGATCTTTGAACAAACTCGATAATACAAGAATTCCTCTAATGTTAGTTTGTGTACTTGACATTTAACAGAATGAAAAGATTTATGGTCAATGAGGTGTTTGTGTGTAATTGATATTATTGGTACTGTATAATATTAGTAACACTTGCTGTGATGATCAGTCTTTGTAAGGGAAAAAAAAACATATTTATCTTTGTTTAATTTGTTCTATTATTGTGGTTCTGTATATAACACTCGACTAGCTCTCCTCTTTCTCATTTTATGTACACAAAGAAAATTATTTAAATGTTTAGTGGCTTCACCATAAGCTGTACTAATGTTAAATAATTTTTTCTTTAACATGTATGTTATACTTCATTATTGATTGTTTATTTAGAGGGAAAATTTTATTTGTTCAGCTTCTTAAAAATAAATTTGACAAATTATTAAGAGAAATACACATGAGTAAAGTTTGCTAACAACTGGAACTGGACAGTTAAAACTAAGTAAATAGATTTCAAAAATGTTATCATGATGTTTGAAGCGTGATATAGCATTTATGTATAAACTTTTAAGAGATGCTAAAATACAAGGAATTTATGCCATCAGTGTGTAATTTTCCATAAAAGATTACCTCACTATAAGACAAACAGTTATTTTTTTTTGTAATTCTCTTATTAGTTGATTGTAGCTCTGTGGATAATCACGTCTGTGCTAAATCTTTAATCAATGTGTAGTTTAATTTCTACATCAAATTATGGTCAGTAATCATTTTTAAAATGCAATGTTTAAAGTGAACCACTTCTAGAATTTTTTTTTTAAAAAGCATCGAAATGAAACTGGTAATATATCTTTGTTACAATTATTTATTCACAACTTTAACTCACTCTGTCCACCTGTGGAATTTTTACAAAGTTGAAGAATCCCCATATCGTGTCATAAAGTTAATTTATGAAGCTTATCCCACTGATACAGTACAGAACTATCTGCCCTGCTGTTTCAGTTATTAATTTGTGACATCTGAAACTTGTTTGTCATTTCCAAAAGTATTTTAGCTTTAAACTATAAGAATAATAAAATATTTAGGTTGGTGTCTCTAATTGACATATGTTCTGTTAAAGCTTTAAACAATGTTTGAAAGAACTGGAGAGATTGAAGGGGATTTCATGAAACAAAGTGAGTTTTTTGCACTAATAAACAGTTGTCGTTCATTGAATTAAGGGCAAAAGTATTTTAATTGTTTAACATTTTTTTATCTGTCCAGTTCTGTAAATTATTAATAATTACATTCTGTCATCTTTCACACACAAAAGAAGGTAACTGTGGTTATATCTCATCGTTCTGTGTAACTGATCCTAGGATTATGTAGTAGTTGTGCTCATTATGCTGAGGGAAGTTAAATTATACATATCATCCCACAACCTAATGGTTGTAAACAAGATTGTTAATTTACCCTGAAAAAAAAAAGTCTTGTTTGTAAGTACTATATTGAATTTTAGTAACAAAAGAATAATTCATGAACAGTAGTGGCACTACAGAAACCAGCTAGAGCTACGAGTTTTAACACCTACTGATTTCTGGAGTTATTTTATCTACCTTCTTTTAAACTTCAAAGTTTTTCGCCCTCAAATTTAATGTGCAACATTCTCCTATAGCTTCATTTATGATAGGAGTTGCTGATTCTTGTCTGTGAACTATTTCTGCTGTCCTGCTCTTTAATTCTGTCTGTCATCTCTCTGTTGTCTTGCACTTGAGTGCCATTTGTCACCTTTTTTTGCTGTAACCTCACACAAACATTCCCAGGATAGGCAAGAAGAAAGAACAGATATTTGTTGAAGACTACCATTAATATGTATTCACTAAGATTCTTTAAATCATAATGTGCAGCCTGTTATACATTTTTATGTGGTACATAAAAGAATATTCACTGACGTAAAGTGAAAAACCTTTGTGCTTAGTGTAATAAAAATAGTTGTAGGTTTGTGTATGAATTTCTTTTGCACGTTGTGATATGTATTATAGAAAAATAGATTTATTACATATTAATAGGCATGCCTATATTGATTTTTAAGTTAATTTGATTTGCTTACATATCTTTAAATACAGTAGTAATTATCTTTCAGTCATGATGTTAGGAAAACCTATAACCTGAGCACCTTTCTTCATCGGGGACACTTTGGAATGTCTGCTCTTCTTGACGAATGGTCTACCTTTCAAAAGTTCTTGGTTTTGTAGTTTTATCTTTCAGGATATTTTAAATCTTTTATTCAGTACCATGCATCAACTAAACTTTATAACTAGGCAAACTTAACGTTGTTGTTTAGAAGTACTTTATACCTTTCTTGATGCCAAAGATTCAACCAGCTGTTTGTATATCTGGTTGATGAAGTCTTCATTAGCTAAAAAATTAATTTAATTTCTAGTAATTAACTTGATGGACTAGTGGTAGTTACAATATTGTATCAAAACTTGGTTGTTAATTAAATATTATTCCTCTTTTTCTTTCTTTTTATAGTCTTTATGCAGTTCTTCTCTAAGAGATTAACTTCCAGTTAATATCTAACTTTTTAAGAACTTCATCCTGTATAAATAAATGAATCAACACTTTTCCATCATTATTGTTCTCACTAGGCTTGAAATGTATATTTAACCATTAGAATTTATTTTTCATTTTACAAAGTTTTTGGAAAATATTGAAAGTAACTGATTTTAGATTTACAGGGATTTTACATTTAGAAAAAAAGTTTGAAACTTCAAAAAATTTCTATTGGTATGAAAGAGCTAAGGGTAAAAAGTGATTGTATAAAGGGATAATATGAATACCTTGGGTTATCTGTGGTGATATACAGTGAAGTCTGTATGTAATATCTTGAGTTTTGAATGGAAAATGAAAATTCAGTTAGTGTAATTATGAAGTCATTATTTTGATGTAACTAGAATAAAACAAATGACTTAGAAGGAAACGTTGTATTGGTTTCATACCTGATAATACATTAAAACAATAATAATTAATGCCATCACTTGAAGAGCTTACAACACAGGGCTTTACTAGCTATTTTTTGTCATAACTCGCGTAGCCTCGCAAGTTCTACTACTACACGGAAATTAAAGTTAATTTCATGGGTTTGGACTGAAATTTGTAGAAATATCTGAACTTCAAGCTTATTTCAAGACACTTCTTATTCAGAAAAAAAACTTTCTGACTAGTTTAAACAGAATACTTATATTCAGCAAGTAATTTTATATTAATCACTTTTATACTTCACAAGAGAAGATAAAGCAGGAAAACTATTTTCTGATTGATTGAAATTGTGTAACTGATGTAATCCAGTTTTAACAATATGATTGAAACAGTGAATGTGTTGCAGTGCAGTTTTCATATGTATAGGAAGTGTATATTTTCTGTACTCACATGCACAAATAACTTGATGGATTAAGCAGTCTGATTAATGTGTTTTGTGGTTCCGTAGGTTTACCTCCCTATAGAAAGATGAAATGTCTTCTTAGCAGTCATATTTTTAAGTGTATGTACATAAAGCATATTAAAATGGTTTAATAGTAAAATCATTTGTAGCAATTATTGTTAAGCTTGTATAACATAATTTTAGGGCAGATTTCATTATTATGCCCTTTGATATACTAGTTTATGTTTTAGCCTAAAAGTCCTTTGAGTATTTACGCCCAGAAAAAAGGTTACATACAACAGTAATCTTTGTAAGGTTGAATATTTTAGTTCTGTGCGATCGTTATTTTGCACAAGTAGTCTCTAACTTTAGCCTTATTTATGTATAAAATTCATCAGTATTCATGCTGTCAATGGGAAATGACTGTTATTCAGAGCCTACTAGATGGCTGTTTACTTCATTCTTTCTGTCCTACTGTAGGTAGTACACAAGAGATGTAATAAAAGATAAGGTTATATTCATCACTTAAATAGACACGAGGTTTTGAATCTTCAAGACAGCAGCCATTGTCATTGTCTATATAGATTCTGATAGTGATGTTGACGAACTATGATAAATTTTGCTGTACGATGAGAGTTGTTGCATGAAGACATTAATAATAATAATACTTTGGTTTGATTGTGACTTCAGAAAATTATAATTGTTTTTGAAAAAAAAAAGAAACTGTCTATCAGGTGAAGGGTTGAAAATTATTCAATAGAGATGTACATGGAATTGAACGTGGTCGAGTGTTTCTTTCAGCTGATGTTAAGTGGTTGTTCAAAACTTCATTATTAAGTGGCACTTTGATATTCTATTATGTCAGCATTCACATTCACTTAACAGCAAGCTAACATTTCATCAAAACAGTTTATACATAAAATTAAGATGTTATATATTACAGAATGGTATGGAAAACCAAGCACAAGTTATAAATTATGACTTATGATGTATTCCACTTTTATGATTAAAATCTAAAGTGAATATGTACCACTAAGTCACCAGTCAGGTTACCTAATGAAATTTCATCAGGTAAAAACTATTATTATTATTATTATTTGTAGAATTGTTTTATGTTGGGTAAACATTTAGAAATTTAATTCTTTAACATAAAATTATTACTGGTTTTATAATGGGAGTAAATACCACACAACTCAGGTGTTCATTAACCCAAAATAGTCATGTTAATTCAGGGAGGTAACAGAATTGGAAACCTTCAGAACAAGAGTGATGTCAACATCTTATTAAACATTACAAGAATCACTTTTCTTAAACCCTCACATCTTGTTCTATTACAAACATCATGTACAGTAGTATTTTTGTATTGTAAAACTTCACCTCAAATTCTTGTTGCAGGTTCTAGTTTAGATCAGATGTTCCATCAGTGTTCATAATACATTGATGAACCAAACCGTAAAACTGAACAAGCTCATCGTAGCCACTAGCTAGGCATTCCCTGAATGTGGTGAAACAGACAAAAGAATGATCACATAAAACTTGTTAAAAAATTCCATGCTAATTGCAGATCGAACAAACTTTCCTACTTTAAACCATTCGTACTGTGTTCTCAGCACAACCAATGAAAGATAAAGGTAATCACAAGTGTTATTACTATTATTATGTTCATTGTAAGTATATTTACAGAATTCCTAATACTGAAATTTCTATGCATTTATTAAATAACACCTTTGGAGAAAAAAATGTAAAAAAATCTGATTATTCTGCATTTTTGATCCTTATAACTTTCATGTCTGTGCTATGAATAAGAACCCCAGGGCATTTAATTTTATTACAACAAAGAAAAAAGGTAAATGTCAATATGTTTAAATTGATGTACTTGCACTGCTTAATATCAACTCTATCCAAATTTTTGGAGAAATTACCTGTTGTTTGGGTTACCACAATACAATTCCATCATTTCTATGGTAATGGTGTCAGGAGTGGGAGTGTTCAACTAGAAAGGAAAGAAACAGGGAGTCAACTTTTTTTTAATGTTTCAACTAATGCACACAAGATATAATGTGTTAAAAATTACTGATAATAATAGAGAAATAACATTTTTTGATACATGTTCTGTTAAATAAGCTACAATTTGAATAATTTCAAACAAACTTAACCAACAGATTTTATATAAGAGAAAAACTAATGAGTACTTTATGCCATCACAAGAAAAATGGATGTATACATTTCTCAGTTTGATTTCAATGACTTCAAATGGATTTTCAACAGGATTATTTTGAAACTTTCCTCGTCATCACTCAGTCACCCATGTAGACTAAAAATCAAACAGATTTCACTACCAAGGTGTGGGCTTAAAATAAATATAATAGTCGATATCTAGTGTTTTACCATCCAGCTTCTTATATGTATGTATTTATATACATATATACACATACACACACATCTGAGCTTCTAGATGAAATACAAATAGTGGACATCACAACAAAACCTTACCTGAACTTCTAATTGTGGAACAAAGTGAATTAAACTGTTGAAGAGTTGTGAAACTGATTCTTTATACTGTAAATCACTTGATGAACTTGACTGTACAACACTAAGTAAAAAACATTACATTAGTTGTGAAACTGATTCTTTATACTGTAAATCATGTGATGAACTTGACTGTACAACACTAAGTAAAAAACATTACATTAGCTGTGAAACTGATTCTTTATACTGTAAATTGCATGTTGAACTTAAATGTTTCAGCACTGTAAGTGAAAACCATTATGACTGTATACTAACAGAAAACTATTATAACCCCACATCATCAGACTGTGTACTTATAACCATAATAAAAATACCAACTACAAAGTGATAAAAAGTTTAGAAAAAACGCCCAGTATACTCCAGATATACATAAAAGAACTTTTATTTTAACCAATGTTTCACCTTCGCAGTTTCATCTGGTTTTTTTTCTAAACTTTTTATCAAAATGTGTAAATCCCTCCAGCATACACTACAAATTTTGAAAGACAACTACAAAGTGACATCACTGTGTACTTATAGCCATAATATCATACCAAAGAATTATTCTTTGCAACAATGTAAAATATTAGTGTATGCAATTATTTTCCAAACAAAGGTCAATCAAACCACAATGTAAAAAAACTTTATTATCAAGTTTGCAATGTTATTATTTTGCATATTTAAGTGTGCTTTCTTTGGAACATTTGCAGAAGATTCAGTCATTTTGATAAGAATATTACCATTTACAGAAAATGATGAACCTCATTCAACATAGAGTTCAACTTTCATTTTTAAACATACACATATTAACTCTTTTAGCATGGGATCAGACCGACCTTGAAACCATTTTGTGCTTGTTATAGTTTTCATGCTATAACTTTTTAATTAGTAAGCGAATGTTAACAAAATTTCGCAGATTATTAGTAAACATTACTATGCTTTCATATGCAAAATATCAAATATTTTTATTAAGTCTTAAGGTTTATAAAAGCAATGTTTTTCTCATGTAAATTTTTTCTTTTTGCATGTTGCCTATCTATCATGCAAATTAAATTCATTTTAAAATTAAAAATACTTTTATGATCAGAAAATTTTGAAATTTCACATGCAAAATCTTTATAATGTTGAGATAGTTATCAAACATTTCTTAAGAAAAAACTTTATATTTTATCTCTTATTTTCAGTAATTAATCTCTGTACGGGTTCGGTAGATTTGACCGATCTTGCAACCACCATAAAAAATTAGAAAATAAATATAAATCATGCCTCTTTCATTCTAGAATGAACACAAATTATAACACGAAAAATAAATGTTTAGATTAAATAGCTTAAATCTCATAACATTATACATTTATATATATTTATTATATTGACCTTTCACCCACGCCTGGCTAATACAGAGGTTACAATCACGCTGCTCACGTGCACTCATGTTACCATATAAAATAACATAAAACTGACCTTTGGTCTGTGCAAAGTAACTTGTCTTGGCTGTGTTTTAGTAGAATACTACTTTGTAAAATACAGTCACATTTCCATTATTATACATTATGTATGTATATAGATTATTGCTATTTTGAAATAAG